GGGGGGGGGGCTGGTCATAAGGATAACTAAGACACACGTGGTACTATGGTACTTAACTCTGCACCAGGAACTGCTCTAAGTACTATAAATGTATTAACTTATTTACTCTTCACAGCAGTCAGAGGTAAGTACTATTATCACTTTCATTTCAGAGATGAAGAAAGGTTAAGAGACCTGCCCAAGATTATACAGTTAATAAGGGAGAGAGCTAGGATTCAAACCTAAGAATAGGCTCCAGAGTTCATACTCTCAAACATTATGCTTCCTGTCTCTCAACAATATGTCAATCTCTCCATTCGAAGGCCAAAAAAGGTTACAGTCAAAATCCAGCTAGTTAATACACTCCTTGAAGCTAAAAGAGATGCAAACTTAGATTTTTATGAGTGAATAATCTGCATCCATACTAATGTCAATGCCAAGCTTGAACCCAAGATCCAAGACTGTATTAAGACTAATAATCATATGGGGAAACTCTGCAAATTCAATTACAGTCCAAAGTCCATACCTGACTCCACAGTAAATCACTGAGCCTAAGAATTAGGTCAGAGATCCATTAATGTCAAGTACATCTAGGCAAATGGTTTGGACAAGGTAGGTGTTATTTGTTTAGTTTCGAGCCCATTTCAGATAGAAAAAGGGAGAGATTAGTTGTCTCTGACTTTGCTTGAAGACTTCAACCAGCAGAAAGAAAAGCCTTATTTTCTACGTGGACTCAAACAGAAATTGGCATTTACCGGCATGAGCAAAATTTAATATTCTAATTTAAGGGAAAGAAAAAAGGGCGTCCCTGCTTAAATTGTATACTTGTCCAAACATATTGACCTTGTAATTGAGGGAGGGGGAAAAAAATGGTGCAAGGAAGGGATTTAACCTCATTTATAAATATGCTCAACCCAGATACACACCTGTCCCAAATGACCTACTGAATCCACCTACTGCGGGGAAAACGTGGGTTACAATGTCTCTGTTTTTCTTTTGGCCTCCAGTGGTCTGTACTACTATTTGTAAACAAAATGCTGATATCCTTTCCACCTGTCACATGAACATCTGATATTTATATAAACAAAAAGAAATGAACAGGAAACTGGAGCTCCAGGAGGAATCCCTTATGCTCAGCTTTTGACCCATTGGTTGAAGGAGGTATTGTGCTGGTTTTCCAAGTTCCCCAAATAACCCAGGCGGAGAGGCAGGATGAAGGAACCAAACCCAAAAGTTTGTGCCCATTCTGGTTCTCTGACAAAGGCCAGAAGGCCCCGTTTGGAAGGAGGTGCGATGCCTTCCACACATCCCAGGGGGGACAAAAGACTTTCCAGATTGGAGAGTGGGAAGCAAGCTACCTGGAGCTTGGACCTGCCCTTGGGAGTCGAAATCTGGGGAGCCTCCGGGACAAGAAATGATCCATTCCAGCCAAGAGCCCGGTCCTAGAGGCCAGGGGCTGGGGTAAGGATGGGCAGCCGCCGAGTTGGGTCCCGCGGCCGAGGAAGCGCCGCGACTCACCTGGGGGAGGGGACGGCGGAGCCTCGGTGGCAGGTGGGGTGGGCGGGACGCTGCTGCTCCGGGGGAGAACAGAGGTCGGGGTCANGTCGCTACAGGGGTGGTCGGCGCCGGGCCAGTGGTCGTGGAGAGGGTGGTGGGCGCGGGTCGGGTGGGCGCCCGAGGGGTGGTCGGAGTGCTTTCCACCGCCGGAGGGGTGGACGAGGAGGGGCCGAGCGGCTCCTGAAAGGTGGTCAGAGCGGGTCCGGTCGTCGCCGGAGGAGGGTTGGTCTCCGGGGGCTGAGCTGAAGAGGACGCAGTCAGGGGTCGGTGGTCGGTAGCGCGCGGGGGTCGGGTCCTCGGTGTCTGGACCGTGGGAGCCGTCGCCTTAGAGAAAGGGTGAGTGGGCTCGCCCTCCAGCCCCAGGCTCGGCGACGCGTCCACCTGCCCCGCGGCCCCGCTGCCACCGGTGACATTCCCCGCCGAGGTTGCTGAGGCGGCGGCGGCGGCGGCGGCGGCCGCGCAGCA